ATCTGCTGCTGCCTTCCCTAGTTACACTGAGGGGCCTGCATCCTAACAACGACCCAAGCCTGCACAGTGAGGCGGCAAAATAAGAAAGTGGGGCCTGGGGTTGAGACGTAATAGCTCGGCCTCTTGCAGCCGTCTTGGACCATGAGGTGACCTTGAGAAGGAGAGGCACGTGCTGAGAATGGCAGAGCAGAATTGGGCACCCAGGATCCTTCAGATCAGTCAGGTCCCTGCACCAGTGTGGCCCACTCACCTCTGGACTTCTTTTTTATCAAAGAGAATTAACATCTAGCTTATTTAAGCCCAAGTGGGTTTTTTGCTTTGCTTTTGGCCTCTTTGTTATTTGCACCTGAACCTAATTCTTGCTGATACGAGTGATTCAGTTGTTTGGCACAATGCAGGTCTGTCCTACACACAACAGGGGCCTGGACTGCTCGACTGTGTTAGGTGACACCAGGTAGTAGTGTGAGTTACAGAGGGCAGAAGAGCGGAGAGGTGGCCTAGGGACGGCATCACCTGCCCTGTACACACCCTGAGGGCCTGAATAAACAGGCCGGGGGCTGACCGGCTGTGGGTGGATGGAGGGTGTGCAGTCCATGTGCGTGGCGGGTGGATACAGGTGTATATGGGGCTGAGTGCAGGCTGGGTGCACAAGGCAGGCAGAGGGGTTGTGGGGGCACCAAGGGGAGGGCCTTGTGTCAGGAGGAGTGAGGAGAAAAGGGAAGGTGAAGAGGCCCACAGGGTGGGTTGCACAGTGGACAAGAAACAGAAGGTTCCGAAAGGTGGCTAGGGCAGGTCTGGAGAAGCAGCCACTGGGGGTGAGAGGCCAAGGACGGAGTGAGTGGGCCAGAGCTTCTCAGGGTCCTGCTAGGCGCCAGTTCTCTGCTGAGAGGCGCCACAGGTGTTGGGAAAACACGGCCCTTTCTAACGATGGGTGGGCAGCCTGCTTCCTTTAAGAACCAGCACCCCCATTAAGGATGGCAGGAGCTCCCCGCTGTGCACAGGGACTCACCCTGTAGTCGTGCCAAAGAAATGTGTACATTTTAAAATATGGACTTGATAGGATTTTGCCTTTTCACCACGTAATGGATCCCTCTGGTAACATCACTCCCTCCCCACATGACCAGCTGCTGCCTTTGCGCCATCTGCAAGGCAGCAGATCCCCCACCCTGGGCTCCCTGCTGGACCTGAAGGGAGGAGCTGCACTCTGGCCTTGGTCCCTGCAGCCTCTTCCTTCTGTCTGTGTTGTCACCTGTCTCTCTGGCCACCTTTCTCCCAGGCCAGCCGACCACCTGCTATCATTTGTGCATGTCAGTTTGTCACATGCACTGTTTCCCCACCCACTCAGCTCCAGAAAACAAGGACACACACATGCGTGTGCACGCACACATCTGTCTGTCTGTCTCCCCTTCATCGCTGGACCCCCAGCATTTAGAACAGCAACTGGTGTTCACTCACTGTTTGTGAATAAAAACTTTAAATGACTAAGGCTAAATCAGTGGTATTGAAACAAATTTAAATAAGTTTTAAGTTTAAATAGGAAAGTGCTGAGGGAAGTTAAGTAATTAGAGTTGTGAGGATGAGACACCATTGGTTTCTAAGAGTCCCCTCAATGTGGAGAGTCCCACACTGTGGACTGGGGCTCAGTCTGATGGATTGGTAGCTCCACTGCCTTTAGGGAACAGCCCCCTGCTGAGGCCGATGTGGTGGAGCCTCCCCCGGAGGTTCCTGGGATGTATGGGTTTCCAGTGCACGCATACAGTGCCAGGAGAAAGTGGTGGTATGTGAAGGATCGGCTACTGAGGCACAGATGGAAAAGTCACTCTTATTTTGGGCCTGATTCTTTTCTTCCCCTGCCTTCCTTCGAAGCATCGGTTCCATCCCAGGAGAGCCACCAAAAGGGATGCCGCCAGACCCTCAGCCTCTCAACAGAGCCCAGCTGTGTGGGCTGGTAGTGCTGGCAGAACCATTGGAGGCCGGCCCCCTGGGGAGTCACCTCGGATGACTGCTGTGGGCGTGGAGAATCTGAGGGAGACGGGCTGGCAGCTCCATGCCTGAGTGTCCTTCTGTGTCAGCTCTCCAGAAAACCCTCACCCAGGACCACAGTGCTCAGGAAAAGCTGAGCGCATGGCCTGCTTATAGGCAGCGTTAATTATGGGCTCTCTGGTGCCTGTCGTCAGCCAACTTCCGGGGCTGTGACGAGGACATTTGTCCCAAGGCCCCCAAGCCCAGTTCTCTGAAACTGCTTCTCACACATCCATCTGGGTCACGCTGCACTGTGGAGTAACTACAGATGGGAGCGGGACCGGGGACAATGCCAGGCGCCAAGCTCCAGGCTTTTGAGGCCAGCGCTGCTGTTGGGGGTGGTTAGAGCAGCAGAGCACCTGTGTGGGCCACAGTGGGAAGGTGTGGGCCCACGCAGCGCCCTTTAGGGTCCACCACCCCTGGCAGGATGTACCGGCCCAGCTGGGCCGCCCAGGGCCTCGCCTTGGCCTGATTGTCTTTCCGTACGTGGCTTCCCCTCCCTGGAAAGATCCTGGGCCGCCCACATGTGCGTGCTGGGTCGTGCACCGTCCCCAGGCCCTGGCAAGCAACTCTCCCCGTGGAGTCCACCGTTCTGCAGAGCTCCTCCCAGCGCGCTGCAAAGCCGGCGAAGGGTATCGTTACCGCTCTCTTACTTGTTAAGCTGCCTGAGAGGGAAAAAAAAACAAACAAGGAAAGTTTTTCCTCCTCCAGGAGTCTAATTACTTGTTGGGTGAGCCCGGACCCATATACATTTCCGAAGAGAGAGACACTCGATGCCACCGAAGCAGTGTCCTTGGATGGGACTCAGAGACCCTCTGCCCGCCACTCCACTGGCTGCTGGCTCTGTAGCCAGACTGGACTGTGGCCGACGCTTCTCAATGAGTTTAGGCTGCTTGATTACTTGCCTTGGTGTCTGGACAAGCCTCTCTGTCTTTGTCATTTCTGTTGCTTTGTAGGGTGCTTCCTTTCCTGTTACCTGTGCCTGTTCCTTGCCCTCCTCTCTCGCCAGTTGATTTCCCTTCCTCCGAGCAGGCTCCCTCCTTTTCACCTGCTTTGGGTTTTGCATGAATACACTCTTGCATTAATTTATCTGCCTGGCTCCTCTCCCGCCCAGACTTTGGGCTCCCTGAGGTCAAGTTCTCTACAGAGTCACCTTTATATCCTTAGCACTTGGCATGGCTCCCACACACACGGGGTGAAGGGAGGTGGACCCTTAGGAGGGAGCACTCGCCTTGGATGACCAAGGTTTGAGCACACCCTACCTAATGCACCCCAGCCTGGCTGCCAGGTTCTCGATCGGACATCTCATTCACTGTCAAATTCTGCATTTGTGTTCTGACAGTGCAGCTTCTTTTGTGACTTGTGTTCTGTTTCCCTCTTAGCCGTGCACTACTTGGTCCAGGTTTGTTTAGGATTCCCTCCCTCCCCCTTCCCCTC